AGTGTGGAGGGCAAATAAACTTCTTTTTAGTGAGCTCACGGATATCATTACAAATGAAAGACTTTTTGTTTTGATTTCTCTTATTTTTTTAAATGGTCAGATGTGAACCACTGTCCTTTAGCACTGGGCCCACAATGAGGCCTTAGGAGAGATGGACCGCTGGACCAGGCTTCCAGGCCCCACCTACTCAAGAGCCATCATCTAATGGTCAGTCACTGTCTGCCCAGTCTGCTGAGCACTGCAGAGAAGGCCAAAATGACCTCTCAACAGTTCTGATCTTCAAGGAGTTCAGAAGCTGAGGAACAAGACTACAAAACTATAGGAGGGGAATATTAGAAGAAAGGCTACAGCTGCAGTAAAACTCTGCTGTATCACTCAGAATTTTAGAAAAGTGAAACTCAAAAATACTGAATCCCACATTTTCTTAACCCTATGATCTACAGATTCATATACTAAGGCAGTAGCTTCCAGAAGGGCTGAGCAAGGATGGGCCTGGAACAACGATTGCAAGACTTTTGTACCTACAGAGCCGGTTAGGACAGCTCTCTTCAAGCAGGGACCTTTCAGTTAGACTGTGAGCTCCCAGGGATGGAGTCCCTTGCGCATCCTCCTCTCTGAGCAGAAAGGTTTGGGCCCAACCCCTTGGTTTGCCAGTGAGGACTTTGTGTCTGATGTTCAGCAGAAGAGCGCTTGCTCCTTACCTGTCTCTGCTGAGGAGAACTCCCTCCCTGAAGCTCCCATCAACCTTCCTCAATGCCATCCCACTCACACCTAAGCTGATCTCTCTGGATCCCACCCTGGCACCTTTGCACTCCCCTCCACTCCAGCCCAATGCCAATCCCCTCCCAACACCAGGCCTCTGCTCCCGGGCATCCTTCATCTGCAAACTCTCCTCTTCCTCTTCTGCACAAGCCAAACTCTCCTTGCCCTTCCAGACCCAGCTCACACATCACCTCTTCTCAGAAGCCTTTCTCATCCCACCTAGAGGAGCTAGATGGTGCCCACACTTTGCTCTGGTATCTTTCTGTCCCTCTAGTGTACTTTCAACATTGAATTATCCCTTCTGAGAATGCTGAACTCTCTTAATGAGCATAGCTGCTTGAGCTTAGGAGCTACATCTTGTAAGTTCTCATTTATTAGGAAACTAACCCAGGGCCTAACACATAATAGGCACATGGAGAAAAAAAAAAAAAAAAAAA